CGATTGACTGTGGCAAATTCTGCAGAGGTTTGTGATCAGTCAGAATCGAGAAGGGAGTCGCCACCAGGTACTGCCTGAAGTGCCTTATCGACCACACCACGGCCCAGAGCTCTTTATCATAGGTCGGCCATCTCCGCTCAGTTTTGCTTAAAACCCTGCTAGCATATGCGATGACCTTTTCCTCCCCCGTCACCGTTTCTGTGAGCACGGCTCCCACCGCCGTGTTTGATGCGTCTGTGGCCAATGTGAAGGTTCCCTGGAAGGTCGGCAGGGACAAGATCGGTGGCGACGTCAGCCTGCGCTTCAGCTCCCCGAAGCTTTCCCTCATCTCCTCCGTCCAGACCAGTGGTTCTTTCTTGTCTGCGGCTTCCCGCAGCGGCTTCACCAGATCGGAGTATCCTGGGACAAATCTTGCGTAATAGCCGCTCAGGCCCAGGAAGCTTTTGAGATCCCCAGGTCTTGAGGTAGCTGGCCACTCTCTCACCCTCGCCACGTTGGCTGGGTCTGGTTGGATGCCCTCTCTCCCGACTGTGTGCCCGAGGAAGAGCACTTTGTCTCTCGCGAGAGAGCATTTAGCCGGTTTTAGCTTCATGCCTGCCTTTCGGATCTTTCCCAGCACTTCCTCCAGAGTTTTCAGATGCGACTGCTCGGTTTTCCCGAAGACAATGATATCGTCTATGTATACCAAGCAACTCTTTGAGTCAATGCCAGCCAGCACCAGCTCCATCAGTCGCTGGAAAGTAGGTCCCGCGTTCTTCAAGCCGAATGCCATCGTTTTGAAGTGGTGGAGCCCTTTCCCTGTGCTGAAGGCGGTCTTCTCTCGGTCTTCCTCCTCCAACTCCACTTGCCAATATCCCGACGCCATGTCCAGGGTCGTGAAATAACGAGCTCCTGCCAGGCTGTCGAGGGCGTCATCGACTCGTGGTAGAGGGTGTGGCAGGCTTTGTGTCACCGAGTTCACCGCTCTGAGGTCCACACAAAATCTGTACTTGCCGTCCTTCTTCTTCGCCAGAACGATAGGCGAGCACCAGGGACTCGAGCTCTCCTCGATGATGCCGTCCCGGAGCATTTTGTTTTTCTGTTCCTCAACCTCGTCCCTCAACTTGAGTGGAATACGTCTCGGACGCTGTCGGATTGGCTGCGCGTCGCCGGTGGCGATTCGATGTTTTAGTAGCGATGTTCTTCCAATGTCACTGTCGTTCTGGCTGAAGACGTCCGTGTATTCCGTGACCAACCTCTTGAGAGCTCTTTTTCCAGCCTCTGACACAGCCGCCTGCTCGATATTGAGCTTCGCGATCATTTCTTCAGTCTGAGGTGTTGGCTGAGTTTGATGTTCGGCATCGTCTTGATCGAATACCTCATACAGCCCTTCACCGTCCTCCTGAATCGTGTAAAAAGTGCCCAGATCTGTCTGTGCGGGGATCGTGACTTCATCTGACCCCACATTAAGGACTTTCACCGGCATTGTCTCGTCTTCTGCCACCGCTGCCACCACCCTTGGCACTAGCCATTCCTGAGAACCAGTGCCCCTGGCTGGCTCCAAGACTCCCTGCCATGTCCTTCCCTTGTCTGATCGACTGCCGTCCAAAGGTTTTACTGCCACGTGTACGATCGCCTCTGACCTTGCTGGCAGCACCAGTGTTCGACATGTCATCACCCGGGAACGTCTCGGGCTGATCTCTGCATATGTTGGCAACCGTATTTCCTGATTTCTCAGTCTGAGCACGCCGGCTTCGTCATCGAGAACCGTCCCGTGCCTACAGCAAAAGTCTCTTCCCAAGACGACCTGGTACACGAGTCCCTGAACAGTTGCCATCGGCTGTACAAAATGCATTGTCTGCACTCGGAACGCCACCTCTGCCTCCCCCGTTACTGCCAGAGGCTCTCCTCCCGCCCCAGTCATGCGTGCAGGTGCTTTAGACCTGAAAGCTTTCCCTTCCAACGCCTTTAGGGCGAACTCCTCATTGATCATGGATCCGTCAGCGCCTGAATCCACCAGGGCGTGCGCGACATGTCCATTTATCTCCAGCTCGATGACTGCTGCTCTCAGTTGTGGGACCCGTTCTGTCTCTTTGGCTGGTGCCTGCCCCCTAGCACCAGCCTCTACTCGTTTCCCGGTCTCTCAGCCCCCCTTCCTCCCTGGATTCCTGCCTGGAATCCCGGCTGGGCTGGAGTCGAGGGAACTCTCCAACACTCTGCCATCCAGTGGCCATGTCTCCCACAGCCGACACAGAACGGTGCTCTTGGTGCTTGCCCCGCCGCAAAGCCTCCATCACCACTCTGTTGCTTGCTCTGTGTCCTGTTTCTGAGTTGGGGACATTGTCTTTTGAAATGGGAGGTCTCTCCGCAGTGGAAACAGCCTCTTTGAACTCTGGTGTCACGCTCCCTTGTGGCACCTTGGTTAACTCGGGACTCCAGCTGCGTGATTGCTTTTTGAATGCCCTCCAGTTGGGTTTTCATTTCGGCAATCGATGCAGCTGCCTCTTTATTAAGAGCAGCCTCGGGTGTGGGGTAGTGCCTTTGCGTTCCCTGTGCCGCCATGGCCACTCCGCTCTCAGTCTTATTCCGCATGGCCTCCAGTATGCCGGCTTTTGTCCGATAGCTTTTAGCTGCTTTGATTGCGTCCTCAAGCGACTTCACATCATCCCTCGCGACAAGCTTTTCCTGTAGTTTGCCGTCAGCGAGACCGCATATAAATTGTTTTAAACTGCTGTCCTGTTTTTGTTTTATCGTAGTCCCTGGGTACGCCTTTCCCGCCAGCTCCAGAATTCTGTCTCCAAATTCCTCAACGTTTTCCCCCGGCTTCTGAGTCGCCTGGCTCAGCTCAGCGTATGCCTGCAGTGCGATTGTCTCCTCCCCGAACCTACTCTGCAAAGCCTGTATGATGCTGTCGTAGTCTGCCAGATCCTTTTTGTCCAGCCTCGCACACACATCGAGGGCTGTACCATCCAATAGGTCTACTAGAACCGTAGCGAGTTCGTCTTCCGCGACATCGCGGAATCGTAGCTTAAAATGTGAGAGCCACTTTTCCCAGTTTTCGTGGCCACTACCCGTGAACTTTGGGCTGCTTGCTACCCGCATAGCCAGCCGTTTGGGATCCATTGTTGCCAAAGTTGTTACAGATATTGTTTGAACTTGTAATTTCTGTATGACTGATGTCAATAGTCGTGGTCAAGAAGCTTCGATGAACGAAAAGGCCTCAAAACCACAAGTATTTAACACCCCTAAGTTTGGAACTGGCTAAAATTATTTTACGATGTGGTAGCACGATTACGGACTCCCGTCTCACCACTTACACAATACTAATAAGAATCTAGGCTTGCATCGGAAACCTAATGCAAAAAAACACGAATCCCAATTGTCACTCACGTTTCAAGCCAAAACCTACCTATAACCCCCGAAGCGTTTGGTTAACACCTCTTGTAAGAGTGTCGGAACCGATCACCCTTGCGAAACTGTAAGCCTCCAATTCTAATATCTGCTATCTAAATCTGTTTCCACGTCGTTAAACGAACATGGCCTTTCACCTATGGATACCTAGCTAATAGAATTACGCATAATAATAATAATCACATGTCATAAGAGCAAGTAAGTTCTGCTTACCTTGACCGCGCCAAATGTTAGGTCAGAGACCGTGTCTTCTTTAGGCTTGTATTCACACTGCCGTATTTGGAGTAACAGTAACAGAATCCGACCCATTGCATTCACACTGCAGCAACAGATCCGACCCGTGTCGCGCCCCTCACCAGACTGCCCCCTCCGGCCGGCGCCGACCCGCCCTGGGTCGCGGCGCCGCGCGGCAGAGGCGCGCCCAGCGGGCTGCCGGCGCGCCCAGCGGGCTGTAGGCCGCCAGTGGCGCGCTCATGCCAAATATGGGGTGGTGAACATTCACCAACACCACACGGATATCTCCAGTATTTTCCGAATTTAGTATTTTCCCATAGGCTTAACATTACGACGTAATGACCTCTAACTGACCTCAGGTCAGTGACCTCAAAAAAGCCGGACTATATGTTATACAACTCGGTGAACTTAGCACATCCTGAAAGTTGACCTTAACCTAGCAAAAAGTATACCATTCGATGCACCTGAGCTAGGCGAACACAATGATGCCAAAATCGCGGCTCTGCGGCCATTTATTGCGAAGTTATTTACTAAAAACCGAACCCGTAACTTCAGTCACGTGACCTGACCTCAGACGCTACCGGTTAACCTGAGACCTTAAAATCGGGTACCAATCGCTGAGACTTGTAACGGCACACACGCTCGTTTTTTTCCGCGAGGCTCTAGCTCTATTAGAAGCGAAACGGCGTGCTGGGGTCGTATCAACCCCTCCGAAACCCATTTTGTTTGCGGGAAAATGAGGAATTTATAGAAAGAACACCTTTCTAATTTTTTGCATGTCGATTTGCAATGACATGAAGATTATTTTGAAAAAATAAAAATGTGAAAAATTTTGGTCCCAAAAGTCATTAGAGGCAAATGAAAAAAGATTAAGGTTTTTGCTCAACAATGAAATTTTTTCTTTGGAATTTTTAAATAGTAATATTAATTTTTGATTCATCGCAAGCTTAGTGTTGTTTACTTTTTGTTGGTTGCTTAACCCGTTCTTGAGTTATAGGCCATCAAACTCACCGTTACATACCGAAGTTAAAAAAATGTAATGCAATATAACTCAAAAAGTTTTTATCTGAGAAGTCTGATATTTTGCTAGGCGTCTTTGGGGCCTATGATTACCCCTAAGACCGATTTTCATTAAAATCTGAGAGATGAGGGTGACGGGCCTGGTACGATCTATCGTGGAATGCCCCAGCTGGATAATGGTTCACACCATTTACACCGTGACGTAATTCACGTTGTCATTCTTTTCATCATAGCACCCGTTAGTGTAAAAATCATCATTGCATGTTAAGATCGTTCAATTTTTTTCATCACTGACTGGTAAAAAACAAAACTTTTTTCATCTGCACAGGTAACGGTGAAGTAAAAATTTTACACTGCTGCTGCGACAGTCGTATGGCAATCGTTCTGTCAGTTGTGAGGTGTACCTTGGGTTACAGGACAATTTGCCGAACTGCATTTTGCCGAATGCTTATTCGCCGAATGTCAATATGTCGAATGCATTTTGCCGACGTGTCTCTTTGCCGACGTGTCAAAAGGGCGAAGTGCTAAAAGTCGAAATGCAATTTGCCGACATGCCTTTTTGCCGACGTGCAATAAGTCGAAAATGTCAATTTGCCGAAAAGTCAATTAGTCGAAATGTCAATTCACCGAAATGCTAATTTGCCGAAGTGCTAATTAGTCGAAATGTCAATTTGCCGAAATGTCAATTTGCCGAAAAGTCAATTAGTCGAAATGTCAATTCGCCGAAATGCTAATTAGTCGAAATGTAAATTTGCCGAAGTGTCAATTAGTCGAAATGTCAATTTACCGAAAAGTCAATTAGTCGAAATATCAATTTGCCGAAATGACAATTAGCCGAAATTAACCTAACCTAACCTAACCTAACCTAACCTAACCTGACCCGTAAGTATTAACTTTAGGACCGACTCGCTTTTCAAAGGTAAAGAAACCCACTTACATGTCACCAAAGTATAAGAAAAACATAACCAAACCTTACCTAGCCTGACCTACTGATTTTTTCCTGCCCGTGGATAAGGAAGAAGATTCTCACATGAATAGATTGCAGACAATGACAAGTCAATTATTTTTAGGTCAATTGTGCATCAGGCTTCAGGCCTTCGGCCTGAAGCCAGATACACAACAATTTAACCCTCACCGGACCTATTGGTTTTCTACATACGAGTACGCGCCGGCCGAGGTGGTAGGTAATTGCTGAAAGGCGATTTGCCGAATGTCATTTTGCCGAATGTCATTTTGCCGATATGCTTTTTGCCGACGTGTCAAAAAGTCGAAATGCCATTTGCCGACATGCCTTTTTGCCAAAATGCCTATTTGCCGAAATGCTTATTACCTATAGTTCGTTTTTTTTCTCAAAAGGACGCTGGCTCAAAGTTCAATATCGAAGCTCTCACGTGAGTTTTGGCAGCTTCAGTGTCTGGCCCACGGTCATAGAATGTCTGGCCAAGAATTTGTTACCGAAAAAAATAATCGATTTCAAATTTTGCACGGTAAGTAGCTGGAAATTGTTTCTTAAAAATGAACATCCTATGATGATGTCACTGGTGGCAACAGGCACCCAAATGTCCGTGCAGTGGGACAAGTGTCAACAAATTTGGGTGCAGAACAGTTTTTCACTGTTGCCGAGCTTATAATCGAGTGAGCGGTTCCGTCCATGATAGTCATAAGTTACATTGAAATACATGTTCGACAGCATGACGTCACCGCTGTTCTCATATCTGGTTCCAAAACGCCCATATGGAAATTATCGGGAAGAAATCACATGTTAAAATTAGTCGACGTTCGATTTTCTCAGGTTCAGTTTTTGCTCGTTTTGCTCGCTAAAACACGTGCTTGTTCGAAAAATATACTTGGAGCCAGCGTCCTTTTGAAAAAAAAAACGAACTATATGTCGTTTCGCCCCTGGTGGAGCTGGCGCGTCGCGGAAAAAACGAGCGTGTGCGCCGTTACGAGACGCAGAGATTGATATCCGATTTTAAGGTCCTACGTCAACCGGTGACCTCTGAGGTCAGGTCAAGTGCCCCAAGGTACGGTTCAGTTTTTGGCGAATAACTTCGCCACAAAGGGCCGCAGAGCCGCGATTTTGGCAGCATCGTGTTTGCCTTGCTTAGGCGCGTCAAATGATATAATTTTTGTTTGGGTCAGGTCAACTTAGGGTGTTGACCTCTCAGGTCACGGTCAGGTCAGCACCCCCAGGTCATGAAGTTGGTGGATAGAGGTCATGTCGCATATCATTCGATTCGGCAGGTCTTCCTGAGTCCATTGGTGGCTTTCCCGACTCACTAGCTCAATTTGATCGGGAGTTATTGACGAAAAACTAATATGCCGTTGATGACGTCATGAATGACGTCACACAAGGTCAACATTGCAAAAGTTACGCATCTAACCTTGCAAGGAAGGCGTCAAATCACGATTATGTGTGCTTGAGATAGTAAGAGGTCGTTCCCGGCGCCAGAATAGCAGTTTTCATTTTCTTATTGACCTAAAATGGTGAGGTCACGAAAATGACCTGACCTCAAATAGCCTTTAGGAAAATCTGAGACATACAAGCTGTGAGACTCGTAATGCATATTAGGTCCTGCATGTTTCATTTCCCTGTGAAAGCTCCTCTGGCCGTGAGGGCGTTGCGAAGTTGCGACATCTGAAGACCGTGCAGAGGTTCACTTATGACGTCATAGGTCGGTGACCTGACCTGACTTGAAGATGCGGTTGGTGTAAAAAGATCCGGCTTGAATCAAAGGTCAGCTATGCCACGTTTCAGCTCTCTATCGCCAGCGTGTTCGGAGCTATCGCGAACAAAACCGGCACCCGCACCCCCCCCCCCCCTCAGCCGGCGAGGGTTAACCTAAAAATATTTGACTTACCTTTGCCTGTAATCTCTCCTAAATTGCCTTCGGCACTGCACTGCTCCGCCACGAGCAATTTGATTACGGAGCGAGCGAAGCGAGCGTAGTCTTTCCTTAGATTAACGGAAATTTCTGAGTATGAGCGGCCGGCCGGCCGGCCGGCCGTGGTCACGCTTTTGCGAGGCTTATATCTCAGCAACCACTTGACCGATTTACACGCGGTAATTTTTGTAGGGTAGCTTCATTCCTTCTACCAAGTATTGGACTATTCCTGATGCATGTGGGTGACCCCTTATGCACGTGCCACGTGCAAAACGAAGAGGTGTCCGTTTTGTAATTGTTGCAATATCTCGGTAACTACTTGGCCGATTGCGCTGAAAGTTGGCATGGAGGTAGACACCCACTAGGCACTGCATATCCATGTGCCAGAGTTGGGGCGCTGCTGCACGTGCGCACGTGCAGGGGTCGTTTCCAGATCTCGAGAACGGCTGGACTGATGGCGCTCAAATTTGGTACACGGTTAGGGACCAGTTAGTAGGGTGTCGTGCACAAGTCAGTTGGGACCCATTTTGCACGTGCGCACGTGCAGGGTGCCGCTTCAAGATCTCGAGAACGGCTGGGCCGATTGTGCTCAAATTTGGCACATCGCTAGAGACCGGTTAGTAGGGTGCCGTGCACAAGTCAGCTGGAGGTACCCCCTCGAAATTTCGCACGTGCAAGGCTCACCCTCTCGCTCGCTCCGTTAGTCGCCCCAAAAGGCGTTATACTGGTGTTTATTTCCACATGGTATTGGTGCTTTTAAACTTGCTTGTGCCATGAATAATTATTAGTTATGAAATCAGGAGGTCAAAGGATACCTATCATTACGGAGCGAGCGAAGCGGGCGTAGTCTTTCCTTATATTAAACCACGCCCCGTTGGGCTCTGCCGAGCAACGCGCCCGGTTGGGGGGGGGCCATTTTGCCCCCCCCCCCCCCCTAAGATCTCGAGAACCACGCAACATAGCGACAAGCGGTAAACGGCGTTGGATAGCCCCAACTATTGGATAGCCCGGGGAACTACCTTGTGACCCAATTTTATTGACCTAGGTCAAACCGATGACGTCACAGGTCAGGTCAAAGGTCCAATTTTCACCGTTTACAGGCACTTCAAGAAATGCGTTGTAAAATCGATTAAAATGCATTTCATTGAAAATCATCGATGGGGAAATGTTCTTCAAACACATATTTTGCTATTTGAGGTCACTGATACCAGGTCAGGTCACAGGGGTCAGGTCACGGGGGGTCACAATATGAAAGTGTCGTGTGATACATGTTTTATGGTCCATTTTACATGACAAATGCGATTATATGGGTCAGGCAGCCTTTGGGGCCAGCTCAGATCACGTTTTGGTCAAGGTCAGGTCAAGGTCAGGTCAAGGTCAGGTCAAATTAGTTCAAATTTCAAAGTTAATATTTTTGCATAAAATGGGTATCGAATCGATGCAGCTCGTCACGGGGAGTTCAATGGTGGTCTTTGTTTTGCCGTACGTGGTCTAGAATCGCTAAAAATTGAGTTCAAAAATTTGACGTCATCATTTTTGAATAGTTTTTTCGCTATAACTTGGCCAAAAAACGAGATATCGATCTGAAATTTGGTATGTATATAGAAGAGCGCTGGGACTATTACATATATTCCGGTTTTTTCGAAATTCAGAAAATTTTTGGATTTTTTAAAAGTTTTTCTAAAAAATTCAATTTTTTGATTTTTTGGGGTCAAAAACCAAACATTTTGAAAATCCGAGATAGCAGTTTTGTAGCGCCGCTTTTTGTCTACTAGACCATATAAAGAACTTTGAAATTGCTTAATAACTGTAGATTTGGTGAGCGTTTCAAGATTGCATGTTTTTTGCTCATTTTTGCTCGAACATGACCTCAGTTTGACCTCAATAACTCCTGACCTAAGGTGACCTAAGACTTGAAATTTGGTGTGAAGGTGTCAAATTGATGCCCGGGAAGGTACTGAAAATTTGGCGGCGCTGCGCGCCGCCGTTTTCTTGCTATTCAGGAAAAACCACAGGGGGGACCAAAATGCCCCCCCCCCCAACGGGGCGAGGGTTAACGGAAATTTCTGAGTTATGAGCGGCCGGCCGGCCGGCCGTGCGGACGCTTTTGCGAGGCTTATATCTCAGCAACCACTTGACCGATTTACATGCGGTAATTTTTGTAGGGTAGCTTCATTCCTTCTACCAAGTATTGGACTACTCCCGATGCATGTGGGTGACCCCTTATGCACGTGCCACGTGCAAAACGAAGAGGTGTCAGTTTTGTAATTGTTGCAATATATCGGTAACTACTTGGCCGATTGCGCTGAAAGTTGGTATGGAGGTAGGCACCTACTAGGCACTGCATATTCATGTGCCAGAGTTGGGGTGCTGCTGCACGTGCGCACGTGCAGGGGTCGTTTCCAGATCTCGAGAACGGTTGGACCGATTGCGCTCAAATTTGGTACACAGTCAGGGACGGGTTAGTAGGGTGCCGTGCACAAGTCAGTTGGGACCCATTTTGCACGTGCGCACGTGCAGGGTGCCGCTTCCAGATCTCGAGAACGGCTGGGCAGATTGTGCCCAAATTTGGCACATCGCTAGAGACCGGTTAGTAGGGTACCGTGCACAAGTCAGTTGGAGGGACCCCCTCGCAATTTCGCACGTGCAAGGCCCACCCTCTCGCTCGCTCCGTTAGTCGCCCCAAAAGGCGTTATACTGGTGTGATTTGCTTCTTACCTGGGGATTGCACCAAAAGAAAATTGGTGATCGGTCCTAAGTAAATAAACACCACTTAACCTAACCTAACCTAACCTAGGTTTGCACATTGACATTTCGGCAAAGTTATATTTCAACTCATTGACATTTCGGCGAACTGCCAATTCGACAGATTGACATTTCGGCAAATTGACATTTCGACAAATTTACATTTCGACTAATTGACGTTTCGACTAATCGACATTTCGGCAAATCGCATTTCGGCAAATTTACATTTCGACTAATAGGCATTTCGGCAAATTGACATTTCGGCAAAAAGGCATGTCGGCAAATGGCATTTCGACTTTTAGCATTTCGACTTTTTGACACGTCGGCAAAAAGCACATCGGCAAAATGACATTCGGCGAAATGCATTCGGCAAAATGACATTCGGTAAATCGCCTTTCGGCAATTTGTCCGGACACCGTACCTTGTCCCCGCAATCGGCAACCGTTCACAGCGTTTTTTCAAAGTTCTGCTGCGACAGTCGTGTGGCAATCGTTCTGTCAGTTGTGAGGTGTACCTTGTCCCCGCAATCGGCAACCGTTCACAGCGTGTTTTCATAGTTCTGCTGCGACAGTCGTGTGGCAATCGTTCTGTTGAGTGAACTCGCGATCGTTCGCGTTCACACAGCGTTTTTCCAAAGTCGTTGGAAAATACACTGCATAAAGATGAGCACTGTATGTGTTAACGAATACCTGCTCCCAGGACAAGTATGCGATAGTAGATGACTAGGGTTACCCGCGTGCTCCGCAACGCGAAGGGGGGATTTTTTGACCCGTGGGTATTGGGTTGGTCTGTGTCGATTTGGTTGGTAGATATCCATTTCGTTCGATTGCTTTTTGACGGCCAAGCATTTTGTAAGAAAACAAAAAGATACATCGCATCGAGGTGCCCGTGTCGTATTATCATGAGTTCTACTTTAGAATGATTCGAAAACTGGCGTGAAGTCTTTTGAGGGCCATCGATGAATTTCGCTAAAAATGACAATGTAATGGTTTGGAACATTTACATTTTTAAGGATACTAGATGGCATATTTTGCGCTATAACTGTGTGTTTTGATAGATGCGTTTGATGGGGCATTAGTTTGGGTGTGGGAACTTGTGATTTTTATTTGTCTTATTTTGTCGGAGTTGGATGTTTGTTTGAACGGCATGGTATGCTGGTGCTGGTTGCGGGTTGTTAGAGCCTTTCTCATGGTTTGCCTTTATCGCACTCAAACCCACCCTACCCTTACCTACCCATACCCTACCTTACTAATAACCTACACATAGTTACCCTTCTCATACTCGATTAACCCTCGCCCGCACATGCCATTTTCCCATCCTAGAACGCACATGGGGGGGGGGGGTGGTTGCCACCCCCCCCCGCGCCATTTCGTTCCTGTTGGAGATAGAGCTTAGCAGTAAAGACCAAAAAGATTCTTTGGGAAGAGACGAATCCAATGATACCCAGTTTTACCTTCTCAGGTCAGTCATTGACCTTCCAGGTCAGGTCAAACTAAAAAATGTTGCTGTTTTGGGTCACCGTTGGATATCAAGTGCGCTGCTTATCAAATACCGATGACGATGCTGTTTTCTGGTGCCAAGCCAGCTAGAACCTATTTCTCACACTATCCGACCAGAATTTTGCTGCTGAGGTCATTTCAGGTCAAGTTAGGTCAAGGTCAATTATATGTGTTTGTATGTGTGTGTGTGTCTGTGTGTATACTGACGTGTGCACCGATTGTTTTTGGGTCCATATTACATGAAATCATGATCTGAGAAGCTTTTACCAAAAATGCAGTCAAAAAACTTCACAAAAAGTAAATTCAGCTTGCCTAAAACGCAATTATCTTAGATGACCTAGGTTGACCTTGACCCTGACCTTGACCCCTGTACATCGTCGAACAACATGTTCCATGATAGGTGGGAGGTAAGACTGGCAAAAAAGGCCGAAATCAGGGTGTCAAAAGCTCACAAGGCCCATGACAAACGCAAGATGTTGAGAATTGGCCATTTGGGTCATGACATGACCTGAAAAACAAGGTCATATCTCCGAAACCAAAAATCACAGAAACTTGAAATTTTCAGTGGACATCAAGAAAGGATAGACGAGCAGCTATACGAAAAATCAGCCTTCTAGCTCTAAAAATGTTGAGTGCAGAGCAGAAAGACTGCCTGGGGGGGGTGGCAACCACCCCCCCCCCCCCATGTGCGGGCGAGGGTTAAAGTAACGTACCAAATTTGAGCGCAATCGGCCCAGCCGTTCTTGAGATATAAAACTGGCCCACTGCACGTGCGCACGCGCTAGCTGAGACTCCAGATGACTTGTGCCAGCCACCTTTCTAAATTGTCCCCAACAGTGAACAAAATTTGAGCGAAATCGGCCCAGCCGTTCTTGAGATGTAGAAGTGGACCCCTCACGTGCGCACGTGCAATCGGTCCACCACACCTGCGACACATGACCATGCATCGCCAGGTGAGTGCCCCCTCCACCCACAGTCCAAGTTTCAGCACAATCGGCCCAGTAGCAGCTGAGTTATTCCTAGTACAATAATGTGCTGTTTACTGGTAGGCGCTTATTTTCAGCATTTGTAATTCCCCTTTGCGGGCGGTGCATTGCAGCCCATGCTTCGATAGCTATTGTCAAAAGTTGAATGACCTGCCGGCCATAAGCCATCGATCGGATTTTGTCGAAAAATACCTGTAGCGTTAACAAAACACGGTCGTATGTTTGAGTCATTTTCACAAAAGTTAATTGATTTTTCGATAATATTTTGGGTGTATATTGGTCAGAAAAGAATGCTCTTTCCGAATATGTACGTTTCATAGCGACTGATCAGCGTTTTCAACACGTTTTGATGTTGTAAAGGACAACGCGCTCCGCGCGAATCAAATTTTCCAATTAATTTTTCGTTATTAAGGAAATGGTACGGATCATCGCTTTTTATTTGTTTTTCTATCATTACACGTACATTTGCCTGCAAAATGGCACCACACCGATTTCATTCCGTCAAACCGTTTTCCAGCGGCATCTATTTTCCCGTCACAATGCACGAAATCGGTCATTTTTTGACAACCGGGGGTGCTGTCTTGCACGTGGCGCGTGCTATGCTATGAAACCATATCGATACGCTAGTTCCATCTCTCCTCTATCCATTGGTGGCAATCCCATCTCGCTGCGGTCACCCATCGCCGAGTTATAAGCCCGGGAGAGGAGCGCTGGAGGCCCGATTTTCGCCCGTTGGCGGTTTTCGCCGTCCCCGTGTTAAAGGGACCCTCCCACCTTAACATTAGATTTGAGTTGAGATAGCCAAAATGGGGTCCCTGGCTCACAATTACCGGTTTTGGCACTCACAGCATCGAGAAATGCCTTAAATCGGAAATATTGAATTTCAAAATTGCAGCATTTTGATTCAGAGGGGCTAATGCTTAGGAATACCCCTCTGAATGTGTGACGTCAGCGCAGATATCTAACGCTTTTTAAATGTTTGACTTAAACGTTTTGTAGCACGCGGTGGTATATGCTATTTGCGCGCAACATCTGCCGCAAACGCCGCACTTCTAAAATAAAGTCGCTAGAAACAGCGGAGATCCCAAAAAAGTAAACAAAAGTAAAAGTCTAATATCTTGAAAACCGGTGAATATTTTTCGGTGAAATATGGTAGATATTCGTTTTCGCTCTTTCTGAACCGAGCGACATCATTTTTATGCCAATTCATAAACTTTTTTGAAGGTGGGAGGGTCCCTTTAAGCCTATGGGAGCACCCTTTTGCACGTGCCGACGGCGCACCCCTGGACCGATCCGTCCCAAATTTTAATACAGAGGTCACATCAACCCATCGATTCGGCATGCCAAATTTCACGTCGCTACGCGGCGCCTTTCAGGCGCAATAAGACACATAAGGCATGACAGTCGCAGGCATGGAGATTGGACGGACGACTTATAATTCATAATATAGACTGTTGCTAATCATGCAAAAATGAAGAGTGAATATCGGACAGAATTGAATGCTCTATCCAATGGTACCATATTCAATTGCCAAAGGTATCAGGTTATGCAGCAAACCCCGTGTGATTAATAAAATGGCACAAAATTGACAAACACCATTTTCTCCTGTGATTTGCACCACCTTGATTTGGATCAATCAGCTTTTCACAATTTTTACATGAGAGGCGGTACCTTTCTCTTGCAGCATATTTACGTCTGGACAACGAGTTGCGTTGGAGAGGCCGGAAATAGTGGCCATTTCAGGACCGCAAGAATGGACCGTCATTGGAATGATTCTTTTTTAAACCGTGCACTGTTTTCGGCCTGAATTTTATAGTTACTACAAAATATTTTCTAATTACGTTTCCACCAAGAATGAATGCCATCAGGGCTAAATTTTTACTACTATTGCATTTTGTCAAGAAGCATATAGTGCTGTTATATTGCAGTTTTAGCGCGTTTGTTACAAAATATGAAGCGAATAAGTGGCCTTGGAATAAGCGTCAGTGTGCCAGAAGTTAACTTGAGGGCTAATTGCTCTTGTCCATCCACTAAAATTTATTAAATATTTTGCTTTGTGCATTCCAAAAGGAGAGGGAACTATTTCATTTGTGCCTTCATGTCAGAATTGAAGGTGGATCATTAAATTTTCAACGCAGTTTACAAACAAGCATTTGGTCTTTCTCGTATATAAGCAGTGGCTAAGAAAAGGTTGATCAATCCTGAAGTTCAGTCATCGTACCTCAACTTGGTAGCAAGATCCCCCAAGGACAGAGGATATATTGTATACCTACATGTCCTGTAAACCAAAACAAACAAGCATTTGGTCTTTCTCGTATATAAGCAGTGGCTGAGAAAAGGTTGATCAATCCTGAAGTTCAGTCATTCAACTTGGCAGCAAGATCCGGCAAGGACAGAGGATATATTGTATACCTGTTCTGTTGATCAAAACATTTTTGTGCCTGCAAAGGCTTAAGTTATCTGTGGTGTGTTCGGAGTTAGGCTATATGGCAGTTTTTGTTGTATGTTTATGTGGAGATTGAATATAACTGTGACCCTGTGCTTGTTTGTATACTTACTTCAAACAGGGAACAGCACATTCACATAACATACTCACCTAGCACCTAACTCATAAGCTGTAATCTGTACTTACCTTACCTTACCTTACGGTATACGGGTTGTGGGAGGCCAATTTGGCCTGTGGGGCCCGGTCTCAGCGAGCTCCCAGTGCTTATCGACAGTCAGCCTCAGGTTGGGTAAGATCGGGTTCAGGTGGGAAGGCTTTGCATGATGTCAGCCCAGTGGGCATCCAGCCTGGTCTTGAATTGGTTGACTGATGTAGCTGATACGACCGCTTGCGGGAGAGCATTCCATGGGTTAATAACACGTGTGCTAAAAGAGTGTCTCCGGATGAACGTCGTGGCCCGCGGTTTCGCTAGTTTCCACTCATGGCCTCTTGTTCTTCCTGAAGTTGATCTGGTGAGCAGCTTCTCGGTGGGGACCGCCATGCCACCATGCAGAATCTGATAGACGGCTATCATATCACCCCGTTGACGTCTGTAGTATAGCGAAGGGAGCTTCAGCGCGCGCAACCTCTCTGGATA